CCGCGCACACCTTCAAATAACATGCGGAACAACTTACTTCCAGTGGCCGCGGGAAACAACTTGGACTACATTTTTTCGTTTTACACTTACTTTTAAAAATTTCCTTCTCTGCCTATCCTATTTTCTCACCCTCCAAAACCTTATAACCACCGTTTTGTAGAAAAAAATGCTGGGACTAGGGTTATATGACCGGGTCCACATAAGCTATTTTTGCCCTTTTGAATTGTCTGTCGTTGGAGCCTCACAGCAAAGTTATGGTGACAAGTAAGTCCATTTCATGATGATTCAGTATTATTATGCCATAGTATCTTACCCACGATTTGCGGTATTTTATAGAACAGTCGAAGTCCAAGGTCTTGTTGTCTTGCCCTCTGATTGCACTGCCATCAATGCACAGGCACGTTGGTTTACTGCACCGTCCTATGCTGCTCTTTAAAGCAGCACATTTGTAAGTATAGGAAACGGTATCGGGCATAGTTAACATTATTCGTAGCTTTCATAAATGCAAAGGTTGTAGTGGAAAAATAATATGCGAGTCCGAGTCCATTAAATCTTGATTGATTGTATAGCTGGGAAGCCTGTCACCTTTGTGTCAGTCGCCCAGCACGAAATCGAACGCCAGCATTCCTAAACCATTTAGTGAGGCACAATCGTCTAGCTTTGGGGATTTGCCTATTTCCTATTGTCTACTCTTTGAGGAACGAGGCTTTCTGTATAGGCTAGCTGATGAAAGGCATTGAGCATATAACTGGATGCATAGCTATTACCCGCCTTGTGCATATGAGGAATTGGAATACAGTCACTATTTGTGGGAGCTGTTCCGTCTTACGCGCAAAAAAGCCGTAGGAGTTGGGTATTGTGTATTGTCAAAATACCTGGGCAACGCAATCGGGAGGTACTTCAAATGGAACTTCAACGTAGTTTGAACAGCGCATACAAGCAACTGAGGACATGTACTACTAGTGGCTAGTAGTCACTCATGTGTACTTTTAACACGGAAAAGGGCGCCATCGATCGTGTTAGTGAATATGTTCGTCCCGTTACACCGCAGGGACCAAAGCTCGTTGATTCAACGGTGGAGCGTATAACTTGACACTAGATGACCAACCAGTACTGGTGCAAATTCCAATCTACCCCTACATGACCGTGAGCATGTTTGCATGATGACAGCTTATAAGCCAGAACTGATCATCTCAATCCCCCTATCTGTACTGATCTTCGTGGTCAGCTTCGATTTTAAAGTGCTGCAAAATCCTGGAGTAGGTATAACGGGCTGATAATCAGAGCTGATCATCTTATGCTTCCTTATTCTTGTCGATAGTTCTTTTCAAATACGCTATGTTACTTCGACGGTAAATGGGCTGGACCAAAAAGTTGACCAGATCAGGGCATGACGAGCGTTATTGGGGCTGCGCGCTCATGACAGTTCCACCGTCGGTTTTTGACGAGGTTCACCGGGTACTTCACCAGGCTTAATGCAAACGCGGTGACTTGCGTATGGATTAGTTTTAAGTGATAGCAGACTTGCAATGCATCCACCGCACTCCCTCGTCTCTCACCCGCCTGCACCCGGTGTCAATTCAAAGTCAAGAAGACCAGAGGTGGGATCAGGCGCTGGCGACCGTAGTTGCCAAGCCTGACTCAGACCCCACTGAGTGGGCGGCTAGTGCCCTCCCCCATTGTATGGCATTCGTTATGGCAGC